GGAACAACTGCTTTAGTTGAGGGATATGCCAGTGAATTCAGACGACTGTACATTTGCCTTGGAGCATTGAGGGACAGTTTTGTTAGGGGCTGAAGAAGGTTGATTGGGTTAGATGGTTGCTTTTTGAAGACAGAGCATGGTGGGCAGTTATTATCTACAGTTGGTGTAGATGCTAATAATGGTATGTACCCAGTGGCGTATGCAGTTGTTGAGGTTGAGAACGGGGATAACTGGAGATGGTTTTTGGGGTTGTTAAAGGACGATTTACATATAAACAATAGTCAGCATTGGACATTTATTTCTGATAAGCAGAAGGGGTTGGTTAATGCAATTGAGTCTTTGTTCGAGAATTCGGAGCATAGAACATGTGTTAGACATTTATATAATAATTTTAGTGCCTCACACAAGGGATTGGCTTTGAAGAATTGTCTGTGGGATGCAGCCAGAGCGACTACTGTATTGCAGTGGGTTCACCACATGCAGCGGATGTTAGACATAGACCAGGCTGCGTATGAATGGCTTGAATCAAAACCAGCATCTTATTGGAGTAAATCCCATTTCAGAGAGGGAAACAAATGTGACATGCTTCTCAACAATTTATGTGAATCATTTAATAGTACAATTGTCAATGCAAGAGAGAAGCCCATTTTGACCATGCTAGAGGAGATTCAGATTTATTTGATGAAGAGAATTGTTGTCCGTAGAGAGTCCTCTGACCAGTGGACAGCAGTAGTTGGCCCTAGAATTCAGAACATTTTGGATAGGAACAGTAGACTTGCAAGGGTGGAGTGGGCTGAATATGCAGGCAACGAAAGGTTTCAAGTCCGACACAATGCATGCACCGTACTTAATGCTGTGGACTTAAGGGCAAGAACGTGCACATGTCATGCTTGGAAATTGTCAGGACTTCCTTGTTGTCATGTGATTTCCTCTATTGTATCACGAGGCTTTAATGTAATGGAGTTTGTAGATGACATATACAAGAAGGAGGCATACCTCGCAACTTATACTCCATCTATTTCCCCCATCACAGGTCCGGACTCATGGCCTAACCCAGGTCTCAAGCCCCTTGATCCACCAATATACACAAAAAGAGCTGGAAGGCCAAGAAAAAGCAGAAGAAAAGAGCCGAATGAAGCTTCTTCAGGTCAGGCTAAGAGGTTTAGAAAGTCTTCACGCAATGTAAATACTTCGGAGACAACTACAACAGCCACGTCAGGTCCAAGGAAGAGAGCCGGGTTGATAATGACATGCAGGAAATGTGGTGAACGAGGACACAATAGTAGGTGTTGTAGAAGGGCACCACCACCAGCACCAAATTAGTATTGCCAGATGAAATTTTTTTGCTTTTGGTTTAATGAATCACTGCACATGAATTGTATATGGTTTGGTTCATTCACTATAATGGTAATAGCTGTAGAATGCTGAATTGTATATTTTTTGTTGATATTTTTGAACAGCTGGACAGAGATAGGCACTTTCTGATTATGTGACCTTTTCTCTTCTCCAAACTGGATATCCAGAAATGAGCACTCTTTAATTATTGTCTAGTACTCGTTTTACTTAATTTGGTTATTAAGTTTGGTTGTTTAGTGCTGATTTTACTGCATTTTGTTATTGAACTTGGATGTTGAGTATTGGTTTTGCTGTGTTCGAACTGGGTGTTGCGGACATTCAATTGCAGGGATAAGCAGAATTGTATTTGGCTGCAGTTTAGACAGGTTGTTTGGCTCAAAATACGTAGGGACGGTTTACACAATTTTTAACAAAGGTAGGGATGTTTTGCGCAAATACATTGTAAAGGTAGAGATGTTTTGCGCAGGTACATTGTAAAGGTAGGGATGTTTTGCGCAAAAACAATATAAAGGTAGGGATGTTTTTCGCAAAGACAATATAAAGGTAGGGATTATTATCACCAATTCAATTTTATGCTAAAACGGGGGAGAAAAACACGTTCATATTTCATCATCTTCTCCACTCCATCACGTGTATTATCCATTTACAGAATCATACTTTGATTGGCCTTCTCGTAAGTACAAAATAAGGATGGACATCTCATTTTTATTAACCACATATTCATTCTCTTCATATAGCATTCCAAAATGTTTTGAACAATTAGTATTACAGCAGCCATGAATATTTTCTACCAGAAATGCAGTCATTCTTACGTCATTTTCCCTAATTTATTGAATGAAATAATATTGTATAAGTTTTTTTTTTCATGTTACTTTACTTTTTTCTTGAACATTTGAAGAAGAAAGAGGCGGGAGAGATTACACAGTGAAGAAAATATTGGATGGACGATATTACCCCTGCATTTTAAAAAGAAAAGATCCATTTATTTGATTTAACGGAACATTTTAACGATGAATTGACAGAAGGACGTTCTGCGCAAAAAATGGTAAAGGTAGGGACGTTATCCACCAAAAAACTAGAGGTAGAGACGTTATCCACAAAAACCTCCAAAGGTAGGGACGTTTTGTGCTAATCACTCTTTGAAATTTGCACTTGAGGTCCTCAAGGTTCTATGTTAATGTGTTTTGGTCCTTTAAGTTTGAATTAAAATCATAACGGTTCTAATGATGATCATTTCTGCAAGTTCACAAACTTGAGTGACCGTTAGTGAAAAAGCTAATAAGTTAAGTGACCATTTCTACAAGTTTATAACTTTAGTGTCCGTTTTGTAATTTTTAGGTAAGTTCAATGACCGTTTGTGAAATTAACCCAATTACTAAAATATATTGATTATAATGACATTCTTTGTATTTTTATTATTATCATTAGTTGTACTCTAAATTTTGTTTTTACTTTTATTATGATAAATATATAATATTATCAAATATTTTTTAAGATAATGTATTCATTATAATTATTTTAAAATAAAAATAATATTAATTAAAAATCGAATTTTGTAAAACTACAAATTATGCAATTAAAATTGATATTTTATTAATAGATAACTAGAGATTCTAAAGCATAAGGATAATTATAAGAGTAATGCTATTTATACATAATTATATTTACACGATATTTTTTATAAATTGCATCTATTTTAATCGCACTTAGTATCCTAAATTTTTGCTCATTCTAGCACATATTTCAATAAATATTATAATCGCATTCTTATCATCAACATTTCATTAATTAATATATTTCCTCTATGATAACAGTTTTCGTAAGGTCTGTTGAGTGAACACAAATGACTTATTTGATCATCATATTTAAAAAATAAATTAGTGTAAAAGTGCTGCTAAATATTTCCCTATTCGAGAGTACAAAAACATAATATTTTGATAGCAAGAATCATCAATGAGGAGGAGTGCTAATAATTTAAAGTTGAAGATAAGAATTCAAGAAAAAAAGGGGTAAGAACATAACTTATATCAATATGCAATTCAAATATTGTGTGAATGTGATTACTTAATGCGGAATCTAAGAAACAGCCCTTCTGCAATTTCTTAAATTTGGTATCGGATGGTATAGATTGCTTGAAAAAATTAGTTTTCTTAAAAATTTACCAAATACCAAAATTTGTTTAAATTTCACTAGTTCAATACCTGTAATATGTTAAAGGGAAAATTGTAGCTGAAATATCAAATCTTTCGTTTACTAGCAAATTTGACCCAAACTTTTTGCTTATGAAGGAAAAAACACATATTTGAGAGAATTTGGAGCCACAACAACGAAGAAAAACATAAAGACCGACATGATTTCACGCAATTAATTAACCCGGTGATGTTATTTCTTCAAATTATTATGTATTTTGTAATTTTGTCCAGCTAAGCTAGAAATTCTTGTATTAGGAGATTGATGAATCTTGTAATGTGATTTTTTCCCCTTGTTCTATATCTTTGACATTAAAACACGTGTTGAATATTTTGAATGGTATATATACATTTAAGTTCTTCCATAATTATTAGGTCCATAATTGTGTGAGTTTAGTGATGTAGATACCAAACCTTTAAAAAATTCGCACTCGGAATCAAAATTGACAGAAAACTGTTAGTTTGACTATTATTTACCAAAAACCAAAGGCCTGACAAATTGTTGACTGATTTTTAAAGGGACAAATGTTTAACTTTATATTTTCATATAAAAAATTAAAATAAAAGAATTATATTAAAAACCAAAAAACAAAAACCAATTTGCACAAGTAAATGAACAAAACCTGTGGTCACCGTTGCTGTAGTTTGGGCATTCGCACAAGTAAATGAATTGGGCATTTGATGGGTTTTTATCTTCTTTCTCCTTAAAAACCGTCCACACAAATGAATTGGGTAATCGATGGGTTCTTATCGATTGGCAAAGAAGGGCTTCTATTTTCTTTCTTCCAACTTTTACTAACGGGTTTTTGGAGAGTGAGGAAAATTGGTGGTGGATAGCGGCGGAGGTAGTGATTGGAGGTTTAAGGGGGGCATATGAGGGAATGGATGCAGCGTGTTTTCCAAAAAGATATCGACATCCAATAAAATCGTTGCGGTAGCAGATAGTTCTAGAAATTTTCTCAGTTAACTGACGGTGTTTTGGACAGTTTCAGTCCAAATGGATCTCAGATGCACATTTATGAATGCTTACATACCTCCATTGATACAAAATAAAAGTTAGGACAAATTTTGCAAAAAATGAGAAGGTTAAGGACCGCTAATGCAATTTTCCCTTAATTGTGTGAAATGCTAACTTATCAGTAGCTGAAATGTTTTAATCAAGAAACATGTCCGTAACGTTTTGAGTAAAGACATGTCACGACCTTTTGTGTGTTATTTTCTTGTTAAGTGGCTTTATTTTAATGAAATTTTAATTATTTTTATTTACATAATTCGTAAAAAGTATTTATTTTTATTATTTTCTCAATTTTTTTTAGAAATAGAATTTTAAAATAATTTGTACGCCCGCGTTCATCGCTGAAAAATATCGCATTTTGCAAGCAATAACTAACGGCAAGACCCTCTCTCTCTCTCTACGTTTCACAGAGATAAATTGACTTAAAGATTTATATATTAATTATGCATACAAATAGAATTTTGTTGTACCAAACTGTAGAAAAGCTGCCCAGCGTGGTTGGGTAACTTTCCCCTAAATAAAAAAAAATACATATATATCAATTTTCTCAAATCTCATGTCGATAATTTGCAGCTGGGTTCTGATTCTGTAGAAAATTGAAATTCAGACCTACAGGTGATGAATTTTATTTTAATTTCGTATAAAATTTTTAATTTGATTTTATTGCGGTGAATCATGTGATTTTGATCGGATCATTGGATACTTGTTCAGGGAAAAATTGAAAAGATGAGTGAGAACAAAGGGTTTCAACTGGGGACGATAGGGGCTTTGACTCTGTCAGTCGTTTCGTCAGTTTCTATCGTGATATGCAATAAAGCACTAATGAGCACTTTACATTTCATGTTCGGTGAGATTTAATACTCTATATTCGGTATTTTCTTTTTCTTCTTCTTTTAGAAATGATATTTTTTGTATTATCATGTTTTGAATGTTCTCGCAATTACTTTATTTATTGCTTCAGGCAGATATGTTTAATGCTTAACAATGGTGATTACATTGTTTATTATCCCTTTGCGCACGTCTCTAATCCTTTATGAGGAGTAGAATTAATTTAAGTTACCCTGGTCGAGGAACTGTGGTAATTCTGTTTTTCTTTCTTATTTTTTTTTAAAGAAAAGGAGGTTCTTGTCAATTTTTGAAATTGTATTGTTATTGTGGAGTGAGGCAGCTGCATAAGTCCTAACTGATTGCTTTTGTTACTAAAAGTATTGCTTCAACAGAGCATGCGAAACATGTTATAAATCGTGAAAATATAACTTTCATTTCGTCCAGCTTATGATTTTCAGTAGAGTAGTTTATATTTTTTTCTTAATTTCACAACTTGATGCTGTGATTATGTTTAGAAAGGAAGAAGTCTCTAAATGTGATGCTGACTTGTTTCATTAAACTTTTCTTTTGGAAATGGGTGAATTATTATTAAAAACGATAACAATTAAGGAGAAGATGATGTGATAAGAGTTATTTTTTTATTGAACAGCTACAACTTTGACAAGCTGGCATTTACTGGTAACTTTCTGTTCTCTTCACCTGGCATTGAGGTTGAAATTCTTTGAGCACAAACCAATAGAATCACAAACTGTAATTGGATTCGGTATTCTGAATGGGATTTCAATTGGATTATTGAATCTCAGCTTGGGTTTCAATTCTGTTGGTTTCTATCAGGTAAGTTGCATCTTCTGTATCTCTTCGCTGTCTACTTACAATGTTTAACATCGAACTGATTCTTACTAATGTTTCCGAAATGAGAATTTATTGTTTTAATTTACTAGATGACAAAGCTGGCAATCATCCCTTGTACAGTACTGTTGGAAACCCTATTCTTAAGCAAGAATTTCAGGTGGGTCACCACAAATTTGAGCCCTTTCTGGGCAAAGCAGTTGGTTTCTATGCGCTTCCTAGATATTCCATCATTTTCATAGTTTATGCTGGCTCCTAGATCATAATTACGACATATATTCTGGAACCTTTTCTCCCCCCATTCGTTAGAATTTATTGCAACATACAGTTTGGAACCTTTTCTCCTCCATTCATTTGATTTTGGGAAGCTTCATCAGATGGATCTTTATTTCCAAATCCATTAACCATTTTGATCTGCATGGTCCTTAAAGATGTATGACAGAAACCATCCCCTAAATGAACCAGTAGGTTGCTGATAAAAGATGATCACTGGATTTTCCATGAATAAATCATGACTTTGGCAGAACATAATGTGCAGCTCTTTGACTTATGAAAACCATATACATGACAATGAATAGGACATTTTCATTTATCTTTCTTACTTGTAACTTTTAATTGGACAGCGCAATTTGTCTCTAGATTCTTTTAGATTAGAGTAGATCTTACTGTTGTACAATTAACCTTTTCTTTCATCTTCCAACTGTGGATTTTTGACTAATAGTTTCCATATCTTTTCTTTTGCTATATTGCATTTATTTTGCAGTCAGAGCATTAAGGTTTCTCTGACAGTCCTGCTTCTAGGTGTTGGGATTGCAACTGTTACTGATCTACAGCTCAACATTCTGGGTTCTATTCTCTCTCTTCTTGCAGTTGTCACCACTTGTATTGCTCAAATTGTATCCTTCATTCTAACTGGTTCTTTTCTTTCACTATATGCACAACCTACTAAATCTTAACTTTTGATTTGCATGTTTTGAAGTCAAATTTGTACAAGGGGATAGGGATGCTAGTAGTCAGCATTATGAGAGTGATAAAGAGGAGTGCACTGGCTTTCAACACAAGCTTCTAGGATTTTAGGATACTCAAGAGGGCGCAAATTTTTCACATGTCAATTGAAAACTAAGCCCCTGTCCGTCTCCCAATTCTTTCAAAATTCTTTTTCCTACATGCTTATTTTTAACCACACATTTACACAACATAATAATCTATTTTTTAACCACACATTCTCCAAAAAAATAACTAATCAAAATGATGTTTTTCAAAAAAAAAAAAAAACACACACACCAAACAGGGGCCACTGAACCTATTATTATCCTTGTCAAAGGAGATCATTCCCCCTTTTCACTTTTCTGTAGACATATCTAAGTTTTTTTTATCTATTCATCCGGATCTCATAATCCTTTGATGCATGGCCCTATTGAATGGGAGAAACAACCTAAAGCAAACTAAGACCAAGGACAACTGGTAATATCTCTAAACTAAGCAGATAATATTCCCAATATGGTCCCACATATCTTGACATCCTTTTTATGCCCAATGTTCTTTTTTGTTTGCATTTTCTACTTTAGATGAATCACATCACCATCTCGCAACATTTCATGTTCTTCATTTCTTATCATTTTATAATTCTGTATAAGCTAATTTATTGAAGAGGGAGAGGTAGATGACATGGGCTGTTGTTTTTGTTGTTGTATTAGTTAATGCATTCTGAGCAAGTATTTATGAAAAGTCTAATTTAGGCGAAAAGTTTCTTCTTGCATTAGAATTGCTGCTTTTGATTGTGGAGCTTAACAGTTCTTTCAGATGACCAATACCATCCAAAAAAACTTCAAGGTTTCTTCAACCCAATTGCTGTATCAATCTTGCCTTTATCAAGCAATGACCTTGCTCGTCTCTGGTCCATTTCTGGATAGGTTTTTGACCAACCAAAATGTTTTTTCTTTCAATTATACGCCAAAATTAGTGGTAAGTAGTTAAATTTATATGATCTGTCACTTTTTTTCTTTAATAGAATGTATATTAAGGCTTGATATCATTGTCAATATTGCAGTTTTTCATTGTTCTGTCCTGCTTGATCTCCGTCTCTGTTAATTTTAGCACATTCCTTGTGATTGGGAAGACGTCTCCCGTCACCTATCAGGTTCTTGGACACCTTAAAACTTGTCTAGTATTAGCATTCGGTTATGTCTTACTCAGTAACCCATTTAGCTGGAGGAACATTTTTGGGATAGTTGTTGCACTCGTTGGGATGGTTTTGTATTCATATTTCTGCGTTCTTGAGAGTCAGAAAAAAGCTTCTGAAACTCCAGTACAATCACAGGTACTAGATGATGCTATTTCATTTTTATCTTCAATGAGACAATTTAATGGCTACGTACTTAAACTGATTTCTCGTTTTTGTTTGTCGAACCGTCAGCAAAAGGATCCTGAATCTGATTCTCTTTTACATGATGAGAATGACAGTAGGACATTAAATGATGTTGATGTCCCGAAGCCTGCTGCATGGAAATCTGACAAGGATTTTCGCGCTTGAAATAGAAGCATGGGGGCACTATTTAAATGACAATTCAGTATCTTATATTGCTTTGCTAGTGTGGGATAAAATGAAAGCTTTCCCTAGTCTCAAAATGGGTTACTAGAACTCCTTGTAATTGGGAGTAAGAGAATCTTCTTGTATGTTGGAGTAAGTATTGCATTATTGATTTGATAGTTAAGCTGGATAAAGTGTCGGTTCCATCACCATGGCCAGTTCTCGAACCGACGTATGTGCAAAACATATAGTGTGATGCATATTTTGGGATAAATTTTGTTAAACATATAATAAATAAGCTGGGAAAATGTTGGAAGCAGCTTCCTTTTGAGAAACTGATGATGATAATGACATTATTGTTCAAAAATATTTCTCCCCTATGGTATAGAGTAGGTATATATTTGGGTCATGTTCGGTAGTGATTATGAGAGTTGATTTTTTAACTGTTAAAGAGAAAAGTGAGTTTTAAAATGACGATTGAAATAGTGAAATAATTGTTAAAAAATTGATTTTTTGGAATGAAAAATTGCTACCAAACGGGAGTTTGAGTTAGTGAAGTTGTCACTTAATAAAACTGGGTTCCGCTCCTAGTTTTCCAATTGAATGCCGTTTCTCTATAATATAGAGTGGAAATATATTCAAGTTAGATGAGTTGTCACTTTTAAATATGGGCATCAAGCTCCTAGTTTTCCAATTGAATGCCGTTTCTTTTACCCACGATTCCTTGGTATACAAGTTGAAAGAGGGAGTAGGTGAAAAGCAGTGGGGCTTCTTCCTTTTCATTATTAATGAATTTTTATTAAACATGCATAAAAATAAATTTATTGGAACTTTGAACCAAAAAGACCATTAGCATAAATTTATGGAGACACTCCACTCTTTTAAAAAATTAAGAAACCACTCTTGAACATAAATTTCCAATTTGTTCCTATCGTATCTTATACTTATGCATATATTTATATTTGCTTTCTTAACATAAATTTCCAACCTGTCTTTTTTTATTTTTATTTTAAAATTTTCCCTTAATTCTAATTTAAACGAAAATAAAATGTTTTACTTTTGTTAAGTTTTTTTTCAATAAAGTTATTTAATATTACCAAAAAGACCATTAGCATAAATTTATGGAGACACTCAACTCTTTTAAAAAATTAAGAAACCACTCTTGAACATAAATTTCCAATTTGTTCCTATCGTATCTTATACTTATGCATATATTTATATTTGCTTTCTTAACATAAATTTCCAACCTGTCTTTTTTTATTTTTATTTTAAATTTTCCCTTAATTCTAATTTAAACGAAAATAAAATGTTTTACTTTTGTTAAGTTTTTTTTCAATAAAGTTATTTAATATTAGTCTTATTTTTTGAATATCGATTTCTCGTTTAATGGACACACTAAAAGATCTGATATATATAATAAAAAGATGAACTAAAAAGAATATAAAATTTAAATCTTTAATGCCAACCTTTTTTCATTTTAGTAATATAATAATATTACTTTAATTTTTCATACTTAGTAGGGCATTTTTAAGAATGTCCAATTTTAAGTGTATGAGTTGAAAATTGTCCACTCGTTTTAATTTAGTGTCAACGTGTCTATTATGCACTTAATGAAAAGTTACATTTTGAAATGATATTCTCGACATTTGATTTTTTTTTATCAATTTGTCACGAATTTAAGAAGTGGCTTCCATGAAAAGTTATATTAAAATAATGTTTTTCGACATTTCATATGACATTCTCGACATTTGAACACCATTTCATTTGTCTAGAATGATATTTCATTTTGAACATGACATTTTTCTACATTTAAAAATGTCGTTCTCGATATTTCTGAATCAATGAAAAACATAGCATTTATTGTGATTTAACATATATACTTTTTGTAATAAATATTACAGGTTATGTGTCAAAATTTTATTGGCTAATAACAATATTGCAAAAATGTCCAATTTTTTTTTGTTTTAGTGTGGAATTATAAATTGTTAATAAGGGTATTTTGGTTTAAATTCTTCAAAATTAGACATTTTTGCAAATGACTAGATAAAAATGGACATTTTGTGAAATTTATTCCTTAGTATATTATAAAAGTAAAGTGTGTAAAAAATAAAAAATAGGGACAATTCTACATTATCAAGTAATATAAAGTGATTTATTAATTATCAAAGAAAAAAATTAATTACTAATTTTATAATATGAATTGTAATGGTTTTTTAGCCCCCGTTTGGCCCTCTTTAAATCTTATCAATTTAAATTCAATTTTTTTCTTTCCTATTTTCATACACAATTTTTAATAAAATAATATTATGTATAAATCGAAAACTTTTCATTCTTTTACAATCACTCATTTTTCAAAAAAAACACTATATAATTCAAATTAATGGGACGGGGGCTTAAACTAAAATGGTTTCTTAAGAAATAAAAAATGAAAAATATATAGTTTAATAAATAATTTAATAATTACAAAGCAAAATAGAGGGATAAACTAGGAAGTGTATATTACTCTCAGTTGATAGGTAGAATCTGTTATAAAATGTAAACTACAATGGAGTTTTTTTTTAATAATAAAAGTGAGGGGTGTCTTATGTAATTTTCTTTATATGTTTCTAAAAGTTTAGCACTACAATATCGTCGGCGTAGGCATCCTCAAATTTTTCCACCTGTCATTTGCCCAGTTTTCTTCTTCACAAACATTACAGTCTACAGAAACAGTAGGAACCTTCGGCTATGGCTATCCGGAACTTGCTGACCCGAAAAACCTTAGCAACTTCACCACTAGGGATGCTAGGGTTTCGCAGCCTGAAGACCTTCTCGCTTCCTGATCTCCCATACGACTATGGAGCCCTTGAGCCGGCTATTAGCGGCGAAATCATGCAGCTGCACCATCAGAAGCATCATCAGACTTACATAACTAATTACAATAAAGCCCTTGAACAGCTCGATGATGCAATGTCCAAGGGCGATGCCTCGACTGTTGTCAAGTTACAGAGTGCCATCAAGTTCAACGGCGGAGGTCCGAATCCCTTTCATCTCTCTCTCTCTCTCTCTCACGACGTAACAGCTTGTCTCTATTGGTTCATTTTCTTGTTTTTGAAATCGTTTTTAGAGTATGATGAAGGACTTGTCTAAAGAAATTGAATTGATTGATGAAAATAAGATGGGTAATATTATTGGCTAGAGAGCGTAATATTCTTATTTTTGAAATTGGTGCACAAGTGAAAAATTATGCTTTTATGTAGAGACTGACTTTGAAATTTCTTTTCTTCATTAATTTACTAAGTTCCGTCTCACCAATTGGAAATTGTGAACCTATATTTTCCAGATTTTAAGCCTATTATTTACATTGCTTTTGAAGAAATTGATAGATCTCTTTTCTTGCCTGAGGGAGTTACTAAAATATAGAGACAAATGGGGTCTATTAGCTGATATCTGTATGTGGATTGTTTTGCTGATCTGTAGATTTTCATTAAATATGAATTTATTGTAAAGTCAAATTAGGTATGTGAGCTAGGATAGTTGAACACGTTATGGTGTAGGAAGTCTTATTAGCATGCAGATCATTTGCATTTTAAACTCTTCGGAAAGCAGCAGTGAAAGTTAATCCTAAAACATTAGGAAATGTTGAACTATTGTCTACTTGATCAATAGACAAAGGTAACAAAATGTTGAACCTTTCTGCATATCGAACTACCTTGGCAAGGCCTCCTGAGACAATATCAACATGTTGTAGCGAAGTAACTGAGCTTAATCGGAATCCATATTTTTGGAAAAATATAACTTAATAGAGTGTGTCTGATTTCAACGTGAACTGATGACCAAGAAATTCTCAAATTTAACATACGTTAAGGATATTTTGGTCAAAGTAACCAAATGATCTCACTATCACTTGATTTGCAATGAAAAGTTATTTCCTTAGTACAATAAACTTCTTATTCAAGTGACTTGTACTTTACATTCAAGTGAAGATGTTTTGAAGCCCCTATACACGAACCTGACAATAAAGGTTGCCACCTTGAAAGGTATGCTATATGGGACTTTGGTTGTATTTGAATCCCAATTCCAATATCAAAAAACTCAGAAGTTGCTACATAGTTTGCAAGACGCACAAGTGAATTTTTCTGCTTCTTTCATGTCATCATGGAGAGTTAGGTCCTTAACCAATTATGGAACCTTTTATGCATACATAATCTACTGACCAGCATTCTGTACATCATCTGGGGACTGGGATACAACTCTAATCATGCTCTTAAGCAGGTCATGTGAATCATTCAATTTTCTGGAAGAATCTTGCCCCTATTCGTGTAAGTTTACTTTCAAGATGTTGAAACTCTTACTCATTATCACCCTATATTCGGTAATTTGGGATAAAAATCTAAAATTTCCTTGCAGGAAGGTGGTGGTGAGCCTCCCAAGGGTTCTTTAGGTTGGGCTATCGACAATAACTTTGGTTCCTTGGAAACTTTAATACAAAAGATGAATGCAGAAGGTGCTGCTTTACAGGGCTCCGGATGGGTGGTAAGTTCTCTGGTGAGGTGGTAAATCATACTTTGCTGGCAATCGATATCCATAAATGATGCATCCAAAGATAATTTTATCTCTTCGTCTTTTTTCCTTTAGTTTTGGTTTGCGGTAAAAATTAATTTACATTGTTTGAATGTACAGTGGCTTGGTGTGGACAAAGAGTTGAAGCACCTGGTAGTTGAAAGCACTGGAAATCAGGTAATTGTTGCAAGATTTTGTTATCAAAGTGATCAATATATGAGATATTATGATATTGATTTTCAGTGCTTAATGTTGATTTTGCTTTATTTCCTTCATAGTGTGCATATGTATTTACTGGCAAAAGCAGACAAGGGTGGTTCTTAATTTAGGATAACATGGAAGCAAAACTTTAGCATCTCTAGTATCCATGCCTTTTAGGGTATGGAAGAATTGTAAACAGATGATACGGGATAACTTTTCGCTGTATGCTGGATTAATGAATTTCGAAGTGACTGCCAGCTGTTGAAAGTGCTGTACTTGTGACTTCTAAGTGAAGATAATAGATAAAAAGGGTAATTTGCATGCATGGTCCCGGACCTTAGACCAGGTCACACTTTCTTCTTTTTTGGTACTTAACTCCTTAACCTTTCATTTTAGATGAAGTGCCTATGACAACCGCCCAAACTGGGTGTTAAATTTATTGAAAAGAATTTTTTTTTTGCCTTCTAGTTCAAATAAACAACAAAAGGTAAATATGAAAAAGAAAATCACTCTCTTTCACCTCCCAACCCCACTCCATAATATTTTCAACCGTACCTCCTCAATCTCTTGGACGCATGGCAGCCCCAACCCTGTGACAGTCTCCAACCCATAGCTGCTGCTACAGAAAGTTCGACTTTTAATTGTTTGCTGAACAAATGTGTGATTCCAGAAGATTGCTGAAGCTGAGGGGAAAATGGTCTTTTTCTCAAATTCAATGCTTGATTAGACGGCTTCAAAAAAAAAAAAAAAAGGTTGGGGAAGAAATTAAGACTGCATCGAAGGTTGGGAACTGCACTTTATTATACAAGAAAAGATGTTATCCTTGCTGGAATTTCTTTCCATCTATTGTTAAAAAGTTTGGCATCGCGAGTTGTCAAATGTATGAAGACTTAGAGTTCCATCTTAAAAAGTCAACCTTGTTGAAATGAGTGGCTCAAACCCTTATGTGTTATTTATTTTATCTTTGTTCAATGTTTATCCCTGACATACTCCCAAAGATGGTGGCTCATTTGAGAACAATCTTGGAATCCGTGTGCTCTTCTGAGTTTTAATTGATTGAATTACTCGTTTGAGGTTAGTGGACTTTGATATGATATTAAGACTTGAGGCACCATTGTGATAAGGTCAACCTTGTTTAGAGTAGACGATTATATGTTGGTTATTTATTTCATCTTTGTTTACATATGGGATTTATCAAAACAAGAGGTCAAGTGGGGAAATTGTATTGAATTTTAAAATTGCCTCATCTGACAACTGCATTAGAGAATAGGCAAGTCTTATCAGTCAAGTCTGCAGTCTTATTTCGATGTGGTGGTCATGCACCTTGGTGATGATATTCTTGAATTTTCACATGCTGTTGTTGACGAGCTCTTCAATAAGGATGCGAAAACTAAGATGGTTATTTGGCAGCAAATAAATTATGTAAATAAGATGAACAACAAAGTACAATGATCATGTTCGGTCATTCTGATGAAATTAATATAAATTACGTTCTGATGAAATTAATATAAATTACGTAATTTTTCTTGTCCATCACTACTGCAGGATCCTCTCGTAACTAAAGGACCAAGTTTGATCCCTCTGCTTGGTATTGATGTCTGGGAGCATGCATACTATTTGCAGGTAAATCTTACTTTTCTTTCATTGAATGCTTAAGAAATTCGACTTGTTTTAGACGACGAAAATGTTAAGGGCTAGGCAATGTTGCTAATATTACCTTTTTTTTTACTGAGTTTGTTTCAGCATGACCGATTGCATTTTTCTTGTTCGTGTGCAGTACAAAAATGTGAAACCGGATTATCTGAAGAACATATGGAAAGTCATGAACTGGAAATATGCAAGCGACGTGTATGATAAAGAGTGCCCTGAATCTTGATGTGTGAAACTTGGTAATGCTGGAATCCTACTCTTATATCAGTGTCTAGAAGGATAAGAATAAGCGAAGGAGGCCCTCCCCCTTTTTTTGCTGCTTGTTTGCTTGTTAATACAATGATGCACGAAAAGTACATAAAATGCTGTGTTCATTTCCATGTTTATTGAGCTCTAAATTACCCGCATATATTGCTCTTTGCTATTGTTGATTAGAAACTTGTCTCGTCTCCTATGAAGAATGGAGCATACAACAAATTTACATAAGAATTCAGTTAACCATCCCAACCTGTGTGCGTGCACAATGTACCAATTTTCGGCCTACTAAAGATTTATTGTGAGAATACGTGGTGGGAAATGTGGTTGGAAATGAGTTTAAGGGAAAAAAATGTTTTGTGATAATGGTAGACAAATAAGGCTTAGTTGTTGGTATCTAGACTCGATTCAGGAGTCACGTTGCAGGGTTCGCGTGCTGGGCTGGTCCAACCCAATCCCTTGTATTCAATTTTTTAACCCCAAAAAAAAAAAAATAATAATAATAAAAAAAAAAAATAGTTGGCGAATAGTACATCTAACTTGCTATGGAAAGATAAATGCTCAAATTTAATAAAATTAAGAGAAACAAATTAATGCATTACAATGTACACCCTTGTACAAGAAACCAACTAAAATCTCACAAAATAAACAATTCAAATGAAGGAAAAACACTTAGCCTATTATGTCCATTAAAAAAAGTTAGTTTGGGAAAAATAAGTTTTGAATTAGTGATTTTTTTTGAAAAATGCTTGGTTAAAAAATATTCGGATTTAAATGTAAAATATTTATTATGAGAATGTGTTGTTGAAAATGATGGATTTAGAGAATGATAGACAAATACGAGCTTAATTTTCAAAACAACTCCAAACAAAAGTAAGAGGTGAAAAATGCTAATCCAAATCTTGAAAAATTCGAGAATTACCTTTAAATTTAACAATATAACTGCACGTAAAGGAAATTTATAACAGATTTTCAATAGGGGGACAAATGTCTCCCTGTGATCGACAGCTACGTCTTATGGTAACAAAACTGTATTTTTCTGAGATTGTGACATAAACGATAAATATACATACTTATTGATGTATTTGCAGAATTTCATTGTACTTGTCAATTATATAAATTGATGTTTAGTATTATAATCAAGGTTCTACGTAAAATGTAGAAAAGAAATGAAAGGTTTCTTAATTTTATTTTATGAGTCAAGTTGGTCCTCATGGGTCACATACGAGCAACCTGGGCATGCCCGTTCATTATGGCAATCATATTGTGAATTGAGGCTCGAACCCCTTTCGAGCTAAAAGAGTTTTTTGAGAAATTTATCTTAGGTTAGCTTGCTTTAAAAACTTTTCTAATCAGATAAAGTACAAACAAATTCAAAAGTAACTACTTAATTTTAAAAGCAACTTTTGACTTTTTAAAAGTTCTACCAAACAGTACAAAGCCTCGTTTAGGGTTGAATGAGTATGCCTAAAACAAGCAAACCAGGAAGGACTTACTCTTAAGCTCCACATACCAAAGCGATGCATTACATCCCTTTCTAATAATCTTTGCAGGTCCACAAGTATGCCTAAAACAAGCAAACCAGTAAGGACTTACTCTTAAGCTCCACATACCAAAGCGATGCATTACATCCCTTTCTAATAATCTTTGCAGGTCCACAAGCCAACCACTTACTTTTATTTATACATTGACAACAATCAATGCTGAAGAACTTCACTAAAACTTGAAAAAGACAGCGACCATGGACTGGAGAACACCTAAATAACCAACATACTAACCTTTCTCTTCGTTTTCAATGTCCAAAACTTGCAGTCTCCGTCTGAGGAGTAAAAATGTACATTTCACAGCTGTGCGAATCAACATTCGCACTAAACGAGCCCACACTATTGGCTGAAACAAACTTGTGCTGCAACCGATAAGGAAAATAAAGACGTAAAATCCTCTGAACTTGACTCAACTCACAACGATATGAAATTAAGGTAAGTTTCAATGAAACTTGTGAATGATCAGAGACTGGTTATATGGTGAAACTATGTAACACGGAGAGAAGTGGTACTAACCTTCCACAGATCTCTTACAGAGACGGTGATGGAAGAATCAAGTCCGAGTGCATCCCATTTAGCTGTAATAGTTGCAGGTTTTGAACACCGATTCCATAAAGCAACAGTCAAACGATTTCCAGACAGCGGACCGGCCCAAATCTGAGCATGGAATGAATTGTCATTTACTTATCGGAATCAGAGTCAATGGAAATCAGATGTAATCCCTAGTTATTGATTTGCATTGAAACAGCAAGAATTAGACGAAAATACCGAAGAAAACAAAGAAAAATCCAAGAAATGAAAAATAAATATACTGATCAAATAAAAGAAGGCATTGGTCCATGACTGCCCATTACCAGAGATAGAACTGTATTCAAAATTTGAAAAACCAAGAGTTTGGTTCGAATGAACCCAATTATCACATACATACACAAGAAATACAAGAACCCCTCGAAGCATATATAATTATATTCTTTCTGTAAAAGATACATAAAAAATTTATCTCCTTAATGAGGAAGCTTTCTGCTAGAGTTTCATACTGATGAACATTCAATCAATCAGCTTCATTGAAGATGTGAAGCCAAAAGAGAGGAAGAAAAAGTTCAAAGGTGAAAGGGGCAAATACCTGATAGCAATTATCATTCCCATAAACATAAACTTTTCTCCCTTGAACTCCAAGTCGATCTGCAAGCAAAGTACAATTTTAGTTGCTCTTATTTATAAGAAATGGAAGCAGAGTATCATAGTATTTCCAACAAGTAAATAGAGACAAAGTGTCAAAGCTTCAATAAAGACTTCAAAACTGGTCCACTTATTCAAATTTTTTTCCCACTTGGTTAAATTCTTTACTTCCATCCACAAACAAAAAAGAGAACGAGAGCATGAAATTTAGTGGTTTACCCTGGTTTACAGCAATAACCTCCTCGTTGCTTAGAATTTCAAATGTCTCCGCAGTCATATTCCTTACATCACAGCCAACCAAAAGTGGGGCCTGAAAAGTCAAGGAAACAAACATTAACTGTTCCCATGCCATACTTGTGAAATGATATAGTAGTATCACTTTTGTCTATATATGCGACTGAAAATTTGTAGTCATAATCTAAAGCACCTTCATTAGAGCCCAAATGCTAAAATGTGCTCTGTACTCCAGGTAAGTCATACCCCCATTTCCAACTTCTAACATATCAGGATCTGCAAAAACAGCATCAACGAAACGGTAAATCAGAATTACACATGGAATTCAGAGCTGAATCTTTAATCAACCTGTAGGAGTAGACAAAAATCTTTTTCCTACCATTCCATCCACCAGGTCCTGCATAGGGTGCCCACTTGTCATTGATGTCCGCGATTGCAGTCATGCTAAACAAGAACACAATAGAAGTCATATCAATTCAGCGAATTTCCTGGTTAATATTAACAATAACCAGGAAAGATTATATGATAAAACAAAAGCATCCAAAATTCTCTCCCCAGTAGGATTTGTTTATTTATTTTTAGCTGCAGTGTTAACATCAGGTTCTGCTTGGGTTTCTCCGAAGGGGGAAGGTATCAATTGAAACCATAAGAACTTGATCAGCATGATGAAGGGGTTCAAATGTTACAAGCATTGCTTCTACCTAGAACATATTACTGTTCGATCTTTATAACAAGTAAAAGTTGGCTCTGAAATGAATGAGGGTACACCACTTAAGTGTCTTTCACCAAAAATGAAATATGTTAAGATGTTCTTGTATATAATGTTCCACTGACTAGTTTTACGGGAAAGTAATACTTCTATGTTAAAATTGACAGAATCACTTCATTTTATACACCTTCACAAACACTTAAGAATTTCCTTCTCCAATTACTCCAAAGAGCTTAGGTACAAGAGTTCAGAACCTTGCCCATGTATCATTAATGTCTTCAGTTGTTCGCCAACTATTTCCCACCTTGCCTGCCCATAAAGCAGGGTCATCTTCACCCCTGTTAGATTCAAAAGTAGGCCAAAGTGGGCTCTTACCATGCAAGTGAATCCATTGTAAGAAAAGATAAAAGGAAAGTAAAAAAAAGAATTAAAAGATAAGTCCTGAGCTTAATAAAATATACCATTCACATATTGAATAAAATATTGCTCGCCCACTCGCATTTAGAGCATCACGCATGGGTGGGTATCTGTGAATTGTGAAGCTATAGTTAGACCAAGCTATAGATACCAAGCCTTGAAAAAAACTAGACACGAACCTTTTCTCTGGTTTAATGCCCAGATTGAAACAGTTGTCGTATTTCAAGTAATCGACACCCTAGACAGCACAAAACATATGAGATTTCAGCATCATATAAAAAGATAGGAAGTTAATACTTAATTAAAAAAACAAAGGGGATATGTGGATAGACAATCATATTAAACCAGCTTCAGCCACTTTCGAAGTAACAGAAAGAAAAGCAACAACTGGAGTGGGAGAGTCAGAGTCGGCATTCTCTGGATAATTCAAATCCATACTCCCAGGAAAAGCTCGAACGACCTTTAAACAAAAGCGACGCTTTGTACAAGTACACAAGTACACAATTGTGTCTAAGTATTCCAAAATCCAAAGTTTAAAGGTATTTATCAGACATGATGCCTGCTAAATCTTGAACATTTTCCCATTAGGCTCTTTAATTTAAAAGAAAACAAATCACACAGAGATGTTTTGGATTGCTGAGGTTAGATATAAACTTAATCTCAAGAAACTAAGTCCAAAGCTACCCAACCCCTAAATGAAGGGGGGAACGATGAAATTGAAAATAAATACTTTCATTACCCATAAAGTTCAGACAGCGGAAGTTAGTGATAGAAGAAACGTAAACTAACCCAAGACGCAAATAGTGCTGCATCATCATATTCATGATAAAGTGATCCAGCTCGAACTTGACAAGTGAAAACCCTGTCAATTTTCAATCAACAGAATTGCACTATGGTTAATCAGAATAACACAGTTATTGCTATTGCCTGGCATATTCTGTTCAAGTGTTATGAAACTCCTCATACCCTGCATCCGAGTATATGCCAAGCTTGAGGCCCTTAGAATGTACATAGTCGGCAAGAGCTTTGATTCCTGATGGAAAAGTTTTTGGATCATGAACCAATTGACCCTTTAATACCAAACAATTTAAAGGTTAGTGTAAATATGTTTTAAATAAATTCTTTGGTACTTATTTCATTTTCATGATCAGGGAGATACTTATAGGTCCTTTCAGCAAATTTACTCAAATAGAAATCAAAGAAAAGATGGACAATATAAAACACCCTCTTTTAAAAACTAGAAAAATAAGCACGTCTCTTTATTTACAATAACAAGATATATCAATGCATAAAAAGCATTACAATAATGTGAAATTTGAACAGCATGAAAATTTACCTTCGAATTTCGTTTTGTCCCAGACCAGCAATCATCTGCATTTATGAAGTATTATAGATAAGGACATGTCAAGTTTTACGGTGAAACCATTCATGGAAGATGCCAGATGATTACCTATATTCACATAGATATAGCCTAACTTGGCCAAACCAGTTGAAATAAGTGCATCAGCTATCAAAGAAAAAAAGGAAAAACTTAGTTGTTCCTGCATGAGCATAGGAATAAACCAACAAGAATGGACCATTTCCAGAAAATAGTCCAAAATAATAGGAATGGTTCACTGAACTATAATTAAAGTTGCAAATAAAACTCCCTTGAGGTGCATATTTGTGTTTCCAAAGTGAACTAAAAATCCAAGTGTGTCTGAAGCATTCTGCCAGTAATTGTAGCCATTAATGTGTTATGGAGGCAGCGAATGATAACACAAAAAAAAAAAAAATAGTGTCTATATCTGCCTGACATGTGGCGAAATATATAAAAGGAATAAAGAATATAAAATTGGTAGCTGATCAGCTTCTACGAGGAGCCAACAAAATGGAAAAGAGGAACAAAAAAATGCAACCTGATTTTCAATAATCTTCTGCACAAAATATTACCTTATCCACATTTTCATGGAAAAATATGTCCCTGACGTCATCAAAGCTGAGAGAAAATAGTCTTTTTGAAACTTCACCATACCAAAAATTTAATGTCAAGGAAATAGCTGAAGACACAATTATTGGTAACCCGAGATAAACCTCACCAAAGTTCTCCCATGGCAAATTACTTTACCCTTCCTCAAAAATAGATTCAAATAAGAAACAAATGTTTATATCTTTTATTATAAAGAGGAATATACTAATAAAAGATCCTCCAAATGATTGCCAAAATTTGGTTTTTTAGCATCAAAATGACTCCAGCAATAATTGTTAAGGGATAAAATCCCACATCGAATAAAAATGAAAATATAGATAAGCATAGGCTCCCGCTTTTAACAAGGTTGGCCTTTTAAGATAGAACCCCAAGTTTTAATATGGTATCAAAACTCATTAAGCTCCAACGAGCGATTCGACTCGATTAAAACTCAATAAATAAGCATACAGATTTCAAGATTGATCTGCTCAAACGAGCCACTATCTTGCGGGGCCATAGTAAGAAATAAAATCCACATCGAATAAAGATGAAAATATAAACCAACTTATGAGATTTTTGGGCTACTCCTCTTGACAAAGTTGACATTTTAAGATGGAACACCAAGTCTTAACAATAATCATGCCATGTTCTTATGATCCAATAGTTCAAGGTAGAATACATTAGATTATGGAAGCACGTAATAATGCTCTCAAGTTGATCCATAGTCATATTAGAAGTAAATGTCAAACCATGATGGCCACAAGAAAAGGTTATAACGAATCACTCGATTAAATTCTTCAGTACTTTACATATAATTATACATGACTGCGATTACCAGTCACAGTGTGATAATCATCACTAAAACACAAATTCTCCAGATTAAAGGTATATTCATAGTTTAAATTTGATAACCACAAAAATATATAAAACAATATAGAATACGGAAAACCTATCCATTTACGAAGCAGAACCAGCATAGCAATGTCAGAGGATTACCTGTTTCCTTGATTACTGTTTCATTGATATTGCAAGCAAAGAAATTCCAGCTATTCCATCTGGCCCAAAATACAACCATACGAATCATTCAAATTCACCAAATACACAAAATTAACTGCAGATCAATTGATTAAGTGTATAAAAATCATACGAATCATTCAAATTCACAATATACACAAAATTAACTGCAGATCAATTGATTAAGTCTATAAAATCAACTGCACCTGTGAATTAATAAATCTTGACTTCAATTTGAAGACATTAATCAAAAGATTTGTTCTTTTCTAACAGACCCAAATAGAAAAATAAAAACCAAGCAATCAAAGTGAGATTCTTCGGAAATCAAAATTCAAATGCATAAGCAAAAAACCCAACTCTTTATCACACTGAACTAGCAAATACAAAGCACCAAATATTTAGTTCAATTAAGCAAATCTTTGACTTTGATCTATTCTACTTCAGACCCAAAAGTCCAAAATTCAAAGCAACATGAAAACAAGAACAAAATCTAACAAAACAAGAATAAAACAGAGAAGGAAAATCAAAATTACCCCATCTGAGGTGTATCAGCCAACCCATTCTTAATCTGCAAAATACCATACTTTGAAGTATCAAAAATATTGCTGATGGGCTTCTCATTGCTCTGCAAATAGGGGTGAACAGGCAGCACTCTGGCTGCAAGAACCACCGATGTCACATAGACATACAGAACTAATATATGTAAACATTTCAATGCAAGATTCCCTGCGATCTTTGCCATCAATTTATTCTTCTTGTGGGTTATTTGAGGGAGAATTCTATGAGAAATTTTATGGATAAAGGTGTTTAAAGAGAGAGATTCAAGAAATTGGAAAAAAATGCTGGCACGTAAGCATCTTTTATTATCCACTGTGCATTATTTGCATTGGTCCCCTCTTCCCTTCTAAATTTTTGTATTGGGAGTTTCAGAGGGAATATATATTATTGGATATTTGCTTATTTCATTTGATATCAGTGTTACAAAAGTAATTATCTTTTGCACTGTTCTGCCAGCAGAGAAGGACAAGTGGATATTTTGGGAAGTCGATTAGCTTAGGGAAAGTTATTTTTTTAGCACTTACATCCCCAAACTTTCGTAAAGAAACACATAAATCTTAATTAAGCCACCGTTTAGCCCCCATTCTCATTATTTCTCTCTCTCTTATTTTCAACCACACAATTTTTCATAAAATAATATTACACGCAAATAAAAAACTTTTCATTTTTACTCAACCACATATTTTTCAAATAAACACTATTCCAACCATTAAAATTTGGCAAGAATGGAGGCCAAACGAGGAGTAAATCTAATTTGTGAATTATTTCCACCTAGACCACCCCACCACAACCAAACTCCCCCATTTCAACCATAACCTGAAGGTCAATCCCCCATTTTTGATCCCACAGTAGTAGGTGATGGGTCTAAAGTCGAAGATTAATGCTATTTGTCTGTAGTGCACTAAGCATCTATCTATAGTATTATTTGTGGTCGTGTGGAGGGCTTTCTCTTTTTCTTTTTTTTCTTTTTTTTTTTTTAATTTCTTTTCTTTTTGTTTCCCTTTTTATTTTTTGTTTTCTCTTTACTCTTCTAATTTCCATGTTCTACTCTTTTAATCTCTAGGGACATAAAGACATAATGCCAAAACACTCAATTAGAAATTTTCACTTTCAAGGTATGTGCATTTCTAATAGAATAGAATGAGGGGATTTGTGTGCCTATTTCTGAATATGGATCTATAGAAATTTAAATGGTGTTTGATATTTCCAGAACTATACATGAAGATACTAAATCTCGAAGTAGAAACGCATGAAAGATGAGCACAATCAAAACTTCGAATTGCCTATAAAAGGTTAAGGAAAATGTTCATGTAGTCCCTCCACAAGGAGAGCTGAGGTAGGACTTCTTACATGGTAAGGATGTTTGACCCGAGCTTACACCAAAGTTGCGATACTCAATATTGCTTAAGGGTAGCCAGTTGAATGGCGAAGGGTCTAAGGACATGTACCTCGAGCTAGATGAGTCTACTCGAAGATATGGGTTGGTTGGGTCCTCTGGTAATGAGTGATTGGCAACCCATGTCTTCTAGGTCATTTTTGGGAATTAAGCCCTTGTTTGATTTTCTTTATTTTAATTTATTTCTTATGTTCATTTACAACCATACATTCACATAATAAAATATTCTACACGTACAATCTCTAAAAAATATTATTTAAAACTACGTTTTTTTAAATTCTAAGGCCACCAAACAGGGCTAAATTACTGCATCAACATCAAAGTGCCACACATTTAAAAGTTTGCGGATTTCAACTGTAATTTTTCCAATAGAATACCACGTGGTCCAGCTAAATATCTTATTTAGCCCATGTTTAAGTCACATTCTAGGGAAAAAATACATTATTCATGTCAAATCAATGAGAAATGCGTGGTTAAAAAATAAGAAAAAGTTTTAGATTTACATGTAATATTATTTTATTGAAAAATATGTGGTTAAAATGATATCAAATCATTGTTGAAAAATGTATTTTTTTGAAAATAATGTGGTTCAAATAAGCGCTTAAATTAGAAAGTGGTCGACTTCTGGCTAAATAAATTATTAGCACGTTCTCAAATAATGATGGAGAAAATTTAACAAAAAAATAAAAAAAATTAGTATATGGATCTTGATAGTAATGTCATGTTTATAAAATTAACAGTTGTTATTTTTCAATTACTTGTACAATACGTATTTATTCGATTTCGTGGAGTACAAGTAATCATAATAGAGAGAGTGAGTAGATTCTAGACGCCTCTTATAACAAACGGAAAATTATATATCTAACTTTGAATAAGGATATTTCCAACTTTGAATATTTCTTCAAAACTTGTCATTTTCTACATTCAATGAAGAGATAATTGATCCCAGTTGGCAATTGATAATTTTTTTATTTATTTTTCATCAATTAAGTTTTAGCCCCTATTTGATAGAGATAAAAATTAGATTTTTTTTAGTAGATTTTGATAAAAATTGATGAAATATGTGGTTTAAAAGTCGTGGATCCCATAAAATGTGTGGTTAAAATTAATTGTTGACTTTGATTTAAATTAAAATCTGTATTTTAATTTGTACCAAACAGGGGCTCAGTAATGGATAAATAAAACTTTTATTTTCTCAAAATCTGTCGAGAATACATAGTATTTACTCAAAACATTTTCTCATGAAAATACAAATATAATAGCTCAAACATACATTGACGTCACAACAAATAGCGTCTTATAAAAATTTTTATACAAGTTTATTACAACTCATATTTGGGCATCGACCTAAACTCACAAACATTTTCATTTTAGAATAAAAGTCCAAGTCATACTATACTTATACTAATTGCTCTGTGTCACTTGAATCGGACACCCTTTAAAATTTATTGCAATTTTTGGTTCTGTCGGTCATAATTTGTAGGAATTTAGATGAAAAGTTTCGATCGAATCAACAACTATGTAATCAAAGTGAAAACAAAATAAAAAATTCGCATCTTAAAAATGAAATTATATATTGTAAATAATTTATTTAGGTATAGATTTATCCAATATTCTAATTTGGTTTGAAAATCAATTAATCAAAGAATTATAAGAAGAGAGAATAAAAGAATAAAAAAGAAGAAGAAAAGTGCTAGAATCTAAAATGAAAAAAGAACTCGATTATTTTTGATAAAAAAGTGATTTGAGATTGAATCATATATTTTACTAAATAAATAAATAATCCTATGAGAATCGTCTGGGTTTTGACGGTTCCCATACTAGAATCGGGAACCGTTCGGTTCTTAATAATTTGTCCCAAAATCAAATCGTTTTTTAGAAGATTCGAAATCGAATCGGCCGATTCTAACGGTTCGGGTCCGGTTCAGGGAAAAAATGCACACTCATATTATTCTGTAATTTAATTAATTCAGAAATCATTCCTTCTAAACTATTTGAGTATTTTCCATGATTCGATAATTTCCTTGAATCCCACACATATTTTATTGCCATTATAACGTCACTTAAAATTTGATAAGAATGTGTTTGATAAGCTTTATTTTTCATGAAAAAGGTTTGGTGTTTGATTGATAATTTTTCCATAAGAAATAATTTTCAATTTTTGATCATGTGATCATATTTTTCTTAAAAACAAGGAAAACATTTTTTTTAAGATGATGTGATTTTTATTTTCTTGATAAATCACTCTCTCTTTTTCTTTTTCATCAACCCGTCAATAAAAAATGAACAAATATATTATTTTATAGATTGAAAACTAGATTTCTATGGATTTTTATAGACTTTTCAAAACTTTCATTTGAAATAGAATTCACGTAAATGTAGTACATTGGTGTGAAATTCTCATATACAAAGTGTTGGTTCCCATAATTCCCATTTTCCTTTCCCTTCTTCTCATATAATAATAATTTTTTTAAAAGAATAAAAATTTAAGACCTTAATTAAATAAATAATAATCAAAATTACACATATATATGATAAACAATAAATTTAATATTCAATATTATCAATATAATATACTTTTAAAAATAAATAAAAATCAATATATTTAAATTTAATTATAATTTTTTCATATAAAATTTTATAATTTAATAAAAAAATAGATTTTTTCAAAAGAAAAAAAAGAATGAAAAAAGAAAAAAAAAGTTACAATAATCCAATTTAATTTTTCCATAGAAAATAGAGATAAACAATAAGAGAGAAAGATAAATGAAAATAAATATATTCAATAATTTTTTTTTTATCATACCTATTCGTAAAAGGAAAAAGGAAAGAAAGATTATATAAAAGGAAAAAGGAAAGAAAGATTATATATATATATATTTTGGTGAAAGTCTCACAAAATTTTGTGATTAATGAGAGACAAATTTTAAAATTTTATATGAGTACTTTCTATTTAAAATTTAGCACTATAGAGACTTTTATAAAAGTTTCTAAAAGTCATTAAAATTTGAATACCCCAAAACTTATAGAGACTTCTAAAAAAATTTAATTAAATAAACCATAATTTTTAGGAACTTTTTAAAAGTTTATAAAAGTCTCAATTGAATATACCGTGACTTTTAAAAACTTTTTAAAACTCTATAAAAGTCTTAATTGAATACATCAATAATTTGAGAGAGTCTAAAAAAATTTCAATTAAATACCACTAAACTTTTTAAATTCAAAAGTCATTAAAAAATCTCAATTGAATACGCCTCTAACAAGTCTCAATCAAAGACATTTCATTAATTTTCATACAAAAATGTTTTAGGCAATTGATTGCTTAGATTTTTTTCCCCTCTTGCAATTAAATTGAGACTCCATTCACGCTATTGGTTCTTGCATCAAACTCCCAAAATATGCATTTAAAACGCCGTAATTATCTTTTACGTTATCCTGCAAAGGCCTAGAAAAAGGGACCGTCCACAACTCAAATATCTTAATGGAGAACTTTTTAAGAGTCACTCGACATAGATTTTTTGAGAAATTGTGTCCACTTGCAAATATATTTTATTCGTAGAATGTGTTTGGGAATAAGTTTAAAAAACTTTTAAATTAACCATTTAAATTTTAAATTTTTTTCATTTTTCAGTTTTTTATTTTAATTCTCAGATTCATTGCAAAAAAATTCAATCTATTTATTATATTTATAACTTTTGTTGAATTTGATTAATTTTCATTATTTGAAATTTTCTACTATAAAAGGGGTGGATTTCACATGGTTTTTCACACAACAAATCAAACACAGAAAATACTCTCTAGTCTCTTTATAGTAACTCTAGTTATTTTATATTATCTTCTTCTATAAAATTTGGTAATTGAGAAGGGCTTGTTCTTTCTCTCCATGTGGACGTGCTCATAGAAAGAGAATCAGTTGCAAGTTATAAGAATTTTATCTTAGAGTCATGCAGTGCC